ATATTATAGGAATCTTTTATTACAAATAGTGTTTATTGTTAGTAATGTAGGGGGTAATCTGATACCCTCCCCCACCCTTGGGATTAAAATATTATCGGGTAATCTGATTTTTATACTTATTTTGCCCTTAACTAAAAATCATTTTAGACACAAATGCCTTCAAATGTCTACCAAATAACAATTACCCAGCCCCCCTACATTTGAGAAATTAGCTAAAACACCCCAACCACAAAAAAAGTTTAAAAGTTAACAAAATACCCTTAGTCACCCAAAACCATCGCCGGTCGTTACTCACCACCGTTAGTCGTCAACGTTAGTTGTCACAATGGTGCATGACCAGCAGGATCTAGTCAATCGTGCGTCGGTAAGGGCTTTTCTGGCCAAAGATCTGACCTTTTCATGACCAGATCTGTGACCGTTTCACGGCCACATCTTTGGCCGTGAAATGACCATAGATCTGGCCATGAAATGGCCATAGATCTGGCTGTGAAACGGCCATGGATTTGATATACATGGCTGGAAATGGCTTTTCTGGCTCACGGTCAGCCATATACAGCCAGTCATGCATCATTCCTTCGACTGTCGACGGCGGCCTATGGTGGTGGCTGGCTGGCTGGCTACCGGCAATTGCTTTGGGTGGGTGGGGATGATTTTGTTACAAATTAAAGTTTTATATAGCTGGGGTGTTTCAGCAAAATTTCAAATGGAAGGGATTAAAAGAAATTATTCAAAAAATAATATTATGTTAATATTTAAAAAGAAGGGCAATTTAGTAATCTATATAACATACCCTCCCATTTATCCTCCCAACCAAACATATTATTTGTAATGCCCATATCGAGATACGTAGCTTTACTTATGCCTTAATACCCTTAGTTGAATTTTGTTAAAGTTATCTTGAACAAGTGTGAAAAAATTCCCTAAAATTTCATTAGGGGCAAATGGTCTTTTCACTCATAATTAGTTGAAAAAGTGGGGAATGAAAAGAAGTAGAATAACATGGAGAAGTTAATAAAAATAAGGGCATTATGGTAATTGACTAAGGGACATATATGGAGTTTCATAGAAAGTACAAGGGTAAAATGAGAAACTATAAGTAATATTTTGTTATATTAACAGTTAAAAAATAAAACCCTAGCCATTCTTCCCCTTCCATTCACGCCACCTTCCACCCAAGTTCTCTCAAATTTCTTCAATCATTTTTCAAGGAAATTCATAGATCTTGGTTTATTTGTAGTGGAATTTCAATCACAAGCATCCTTAGGTAAGATCCTTGCACTAAGATATAAGATTAAATTTCTAAAGTGTTGAATTCTTATGATTTGCGTTCATAGGATTTAAGAGAAAAAGAGTTGGATTAAGGAAGACTACTAAAGTGTTGGATTGCTCACATCTAAGGTAAGTAAATTCAACCCTAGTTATGATTGGAGTAAACTTGTGAAGAGAACTTCCTTTATGCATGTATGTGCTTATATATGAAGAATTGTTGATGGAATGGATGTTGAATGATGGTTAGAATTTATCAATGAGAAATAGTGTTTATGTACTTGATGTTTGATGAGAGTTTGGATGAATTATGGAAGAATTGGAGTAGAATTTATGGAGTGTGAATCCTGGACATGTTTGACGTTAATCTTGGTGTATTTTATTCCAAATTTTGGTGGCTTAGAAGAGAGGTAGAAATGTAGCCAAATTAGAGTTGATGTGTGCATATAAATTGTTTGATAAAATGTCAAAGAGAAGTGCATACATGATTATGATTATTTGTTATATTGAGATGAGTTTGTAGATGGTAGAGAATGACATGTTTACATTCCATATTGCATTATTGCATCCAAACATGTGAATTTAGAAAGAATAATAAGCATGAGTCCATCTACATGCATACATACTCATAAGAGCATTAAAGAGCAATAATAAACATTAAAGTTAAAGAACAAATAGAAAGAAATGAGAAATATTAAAGAAGTTCAAATCTGAATTTTTTTTTAAAGAAGTGTAAAAAGATAAAAGAAGAGAAGGTTGTTGCGATGGGGAACCCGTGAGTGACATAGCCCCACATGCACGCCACCTTTAGTTAGCGGCCTCAGAATCAGAAAGGAGAATTGTACAGTCCGTTAGAAATGCATGTGGATGAGGACTGTATCCAGAATTAGAGAATACACTCACACGGTCAGTGTTCCAAATCCATGCCTCAACCAAGTCCGATCGGAATAGAAAGAAAAAACGACTAGAAAAGAAAAGAAAAGAAAGAAATGAAGCATAGAAAGAAATACAGAGAAATGAAACAGAAAACAGAATAAGAAAAATAGAAAAAACAGAAAAGAAAATGCATATCCTATGCATTTGTGCATTTGCATCATACATATGCATGATACCATGCCTACTATCATGAGTAGTGAGAAATTAGAAACAGAGAAAGAACAGTGAAGATTAGAGAAGTGTGATGTAAGGAAAGAAATTCAGAATATAAGCAACGATGAGAGAAGGGTAGTATTGCGGGTTTACTTACTGAGCAATTAGTGTCCATCCCATTGTTTTCAATGTTTTTGCAGGTAGTAGGTGAGATGCGGTCGCTTGGAACGTCAAGAAGCAAAAGGGTTTGGCAACACTGTCGAGTTGTTGTTTTGGAACGTCAAGAAACGGAAGGGTTTGGCAACACTATCGAGTTGTTATTTTGTGACTTTATTATATTATGAAAAGATTTGTATATAAAGAAAAACTAAATATGGGCCCATTATTTTATACTCATCTACATGTATATTTTCTTATACATATTTAGTAAGTTTTACTGTTATTTTACGAGTATACTACTAGAGAGAGAGAAAGCATTATATTATTCATCAATTTATTCGAACAAACCAAACACATTTTCTAAACATTTTCAATAATCTTCAAAGTGATATATCTTTCCGTTAATATAACATCTCTTATAATAAAATATTATATAATTCAAACGCCCCCTGGTAACTAAAGAGTATATTTGTTGAGTTATTAATAATGCATTAACAATAACTTATTCTTTTTTCGTACTATACTTGAGACTGTTGAATGAATGTTTAGGCATCATATTTCGAAGCTTGAAGAAGAAATTTATCAGGTTAATAACTCTTTTTAATCCATACTTGATTGTGTGTAACACCGATTTGACTCAAGAAAATAACCGTTGATATAACAGATTCCTTATCTTCAAATAATGTCAACTTTATGGTCTATCAACGGACAATGATATTGGTGATAAGATGCTCTTTTATGATAAGCTTATGATTACGAGTAAGAGAGTACATTCCGAAAATTTTCATAATTATAATTCTTTATAATTTTTATAAAAATATATAAAAGTTAAATAAAAAATAAAAAATCTTGAACCTAACACCTCTTTTTCATCCCCACCCTACCCTACACGGCCCCAACCTCAAACAAAACCCCCACCCCCACACACCCATCGTTGGCAAGCCTTGCACACCCATCGTTGGCAAGCCTTGCACACCCACCATTGGTGAGTAAAGATAGTAAGGCTTATCCTTGTGCATGTGTGGGCCGAGAGAGTCTCCGACTGACCTGAGTCGAGACGTAGAGCTGAAGGCTGTCGTAATTAGGAATTGCCCACTCTCGTTAGGTGGATGAGTTTGCTACAACGGTTGTGGCCGAAACCGAAATGGGTTTGGATCAGAATATTCAAGGATGAGGGCCTTCCTTCTAACGTCAAAATGTTGATGTGAAAATCTGCATCGACCTAGATGTCAATACAAGAATCCACAACAACTAGAGATACTCAGTTGATCGTATTGAAATCGAGCAAGATGGGTGCGTGACTCTAGGGGGTCAGCAAAGAAGAATGTATTAATGCATAAATATGGATGAGACTGGGACGAATGTCCTCGATGACGATGCAAGAACATGACCCTTTTAAAGTGGTTTGGCTAGAGAAAAACCCAAAGTCTACATACACTGATATTATATCTGGATAGAAACTAAGTCACCATCCTCTCTTTTCTTCTTTCCTTTTTCTTTTTATATGGAGTACCGAGGGTGTCATGATGACAGGCATGTCAACCGGGTCGTCATGGTTTAAACGACGATCGGAGGCCACATGCTTCTCAATGGAAAGGAATCAGGGCCATCTCAAGAACATTTGTGACCCTAGGCAAGAGTTACTTTGGGAGCCTTATAATAATATAAGCATATATTAAAAAAAAAATATTTCAAATTTATTTTCTTGCCTTTTAAGATGCAAAATCACTTAGGAGGGGTGAATGGCGATCGACAGGCTAACTAGGTCAGGTTGGTGGGGGGTTTTGGAGAGCAGATGTTGGAGAAGCAATGGGTGGTGAAATAGGTAATTTCCAATGCCCGGATTGGCCAGAAAAGGCTTGAGAAGTCGCAACCCAAAAGGTAACGGTGGCCTACAATTGGCGGAGTAAACGGATGAGGTATGATACCGATTTTAGTGAGAGGGTTGAGGGGAGGAAGATGGTGGTGTCGAGGAAGGCCAACAACGCCAGGTACATGCTGAAAAGGCCGAAAATGGCTGTCGTGCGCGGTGGGGTTGGGTTATGAGATTCATAAAAAATCGGTCAAATCAAGGGCTATCAAAGTTGGAAAAACGCTTGGGAAATGATAAAGTGATGATTCCCATCAATTTTGGTGAGAAAATTGATCGGAATCAACTCCAAACGGCTAGCAACGGAAGAGGGGGTGGAGATGATTTATGTGAATGTCGAATTTTAGGATGGAATTGGGGTTGAGTAATTTGAGACATATAAATGACTATTTTAGCTTTTTATTGTTAAAAGAAATTCAATGTGATAATTTAGGGGTGAAAATTAGAATATATAAAACTAGAGGTACAAACTTACTATTTCGTCAAACTTTGGGTAGAAATATATGTAAAATGTTTATAATAAAACTAGAGGTACAAACTTATTTTTGTAATATATGAAAAAAAATTATAAAAAATTTGGCCCCTATTTTTTTGGGGCCCTAGGCAGGTGCCTCACCTGCCTACCCCTTGAGCCAGGCCTGTTCCCATCTCTATACTTGTCGATGCTTGATTTTGATACTAATAACCTCGTACATGCAAAGTGTTAAGAGGATCTTAGAAATTACACATGATATGATTATGAGAGTTAAGTATGGTGCAATAATGATATAAGTTTCAATAAACATAAATAAAAGATTGACAAGAGAGATTTTTGTAGTGGTTCGAATGCTTAAAACGAATTCTACATCCATAATTATTTTATTATTCTCTGACTATTTTTCTAATATTGCCTTTAAGGCATACAAAAATAGAGTAATGCGTTGTTTAAAGAGAAAATAATGGTTGAAGCTCGAATGTGTGTCCAACTTTCATATGCCAAGCCTCTCTTTTTCATAAAAAGAGGTGCCCATTTATACCTTTAAGGTCAATGTAATGAGTGTTTTTGCAAGTTCTCTTGACACGTGGAGATCACTCCTTAATTCTTATCTTAAAACGAGATATGATTGATATAAATGCTCTAAAGTCGGTTTGGTCTTGACAGCTAAATTTATTTTATCCTTTAACTCTTGCTAAACTTTGATTGATGGGACTGACAGCTCATTATGATTGGTGGTACTGATGTCAGTGTAATTTTACCCATAAAAGAAGCCCCACAGTTTTTGGAGTGTATAATTGTGCTTCAAAAACTCATGTCTTTGATATGAATGACTGTCGCATTATATGTTGTAGTCTCAAACTAAAGAGCCCAAATTATGCCTGGTGTGACCGGGTGTTGACTAGGACTGCGATTTGAAAGCTTGGAGCGATCTGAAGCTGATCACGATCTGATAACTGACATAAAATATCTAGTAGATGAATTCCTGGAGAGAGCTAAGCGTCAAAAGCCAAAACGCTGGTTCAGATGTCCTAAATGAACATGCCAACTTAAAACAGCCATAACTTTTGATCTAAGAGGAGTTTTAAAGCCCGTAAGATATCAACGGAAAACTCGTTCCAGTTGATGTCATTTTCGAGGCCAAAATCCACCGTTTCGGCATGTTTCAGAGCTGTTTTAAGTTTTCTACACGTTTTTTCTTATGCTAACAATTGATCACGATCTGAGAACGGAGAGCTGAGAATTGAGAACACAATCTGAGGCTTTTTGCAATGTAAAAGCTGAAAGTTGATCGCGATTTGAGAGCTAGGAGTTGATCGTGATCTGATAAGGGCTCTATCTGAGAGCTTAAGGCACGCGATCACAACGATATGAAGCGTGCGATCTCAAGATGAGGAGCTTGATCTAGATCGCGCGATCTGAACGATTTGGGGCATGCGATCTGAACGATCGCGAACTGAACGATCGCGAACTGAACGATTTGAGATACGCGATTTGAATGATCTAAGGCGCGTGATCTGAACGATCCGAGGCATACGATTTGAACGATCTAAGGCGTGCGATCTGAATGATCTGAGGCGCGCGAATTGAACAATCTGAAGTGCGCGATCTCAAGCGAACGAGCGAGCTTATGAGGTCAATCAGAGAGCATAAGAAGCTTGATATGAGATCATAAGGAGCTAGATCTGAGAGCATAGAGCACAAGGACTTCATCAGAAAGCATGAAGCTTGATATGAGAACACAACGAGTTCGATCAGAAAGCTCGAAGCTTGATCTAAGAACACAAACAGTTTGATCAGAAAGCTTGAAGCTTGATATGAGATCACAAGCAATTCGATCAGAAAGCTTTAAGCTTGATCTGAGAATANCAAGAGTAAAAGCGATTCATCACTTTTACTCTTGGTCGCTTAAGCGATTACAGATCGCTTAAGAGATCCTGTACGAGGCAGAATCAACATCTGCCAGATCTAAGATCGCTTAAGCGATCGTTTATATCGCTTAAGCGATTCATCGCTTTTACTCTTAAGCAATCCTAAATAGCTTAAGCGACCAAGAGTAAAAGCCATCAATCGATGATCGCTTAAGCGATCTTAGGTCTCGGCAAGTACAAATACCTTTTCTTTGGTGGCCTCCTCCTCCTCGTCTAAACTCTCGCCGGACTCCTCTTCCTGACCTGAATTCTACATGGCCTCCTCTTCCTCTTTAGAACCGTTTTGCTCCTATTCTCTCTCTTGTTGTGATGTCATCGTCTCCACTGCTGGAACCCCTTCACTGATCGGAGGATCCACCAGAGCAGCCATTGAACTACTTGCGCCGTCGGACTCTACGATTCGAAGAGGCGTTGGGTTTTCCTCCTCATTATGAATGTTAGCCATGGTTTTAAGAAAGGAAGAAGCTTTAGGATTGAATTTGGGTGTGAAAATTTGCCAGAATATGGACTGTTATCGCCGAAAATTGCACAGAATGCATTTAGGGATTAAAGATATTGATTTTTGCCTTAATTGGTTTTGATTAAGCGATTTGAATGGGTGGGGCTCTTTTTCAATTTTCAAATTTTAAAACTTTCATTAATTATGATTTTGTCCTTATATGTTTTAATCTTTTCATTTTAACCCATTTTACATGTTTAATGGATCCTAACTGTGCCACGTCAGCTTCTCTAAATTTAAAAAAAATGAAAAACAGTTTCAAGGCCATTTTCTTAAATCGAAACTTGGGATGACCGGTCAGCTAAATTTTCTCATGTTTATGTGAGAGGGTGCAAAATCTTGGCTTATCTTTTCACTTTATCAATCCTCTAAAATTCGGATCAAATTTGGATTAGGTTTTATCCTGATCCGAATATTTAGATTGGATCAAAAAAGTCTCCAACCGGATCGGATATCTGGTTTTGTACACCCTTAGGCTTCAGTTTTCTAAACTTATGCTGAGAAAGAGAATTAATTGTGAAATATTACAAAAAATAAAACGTGAAATAATTAAGAATCCTATTAGCTGCGGACTAAATTTGCAACGGTTGAATCCTTTTTTGGTTATTCATTAACAAGACCAAGGAACCTATCTTCCATATTTTTCTTAACCAAAGGAATGCTATTAACAACTTCGAAATCTTACAATATCTCATCCTATTCCCATAATCACCGACTGAGGTAATAACAACGAAATAAAACTCGAAATTATTCTTCAATCTTAACCATTTGTTTATGATCTTGAACACCTTAACAAACACTATTTCTATTAAATATGAACTCTTATATTCACCGATTGATCAATGGCTATTGGTTTTGGATAGTCGCATTGTGTTCTTTATTGGAGAAAATTTGGTGGTTTGATCCATATTGGTAGTTTTATTTAGGTTTTGTACAAATGATTTAAGATTGAGGAGGCGGTTGTGGGTAGACCTGGCAAAACGAGTCTAGACCCGCGGGTCGATCCGTACCTGGGTAGAAAATATAGGGTATGGGTCTAATTTATTAGACCCGTTTTGTTTTTACCCGTACCCGACCCAACCCGTATAGTTGAGGGGTTATATGGGTAAACCCGCGGGTACCCATTTTTGCAAATCCCTAAAGTGGCTAAGTCCCTAACTTAGACTTTAAAACAAATCTTCATCTTCAACATAACAATTCTCTCCTGCAGTCCCGCCTCTCGATCTCTCATCACTGCATCACTCATCACTCATTCATCATCAGTATACCTCACGGTCCTCACCTGAACCTTATTTATTCATTCTGTAAACTCTTAATCTCTCATCCAGTCTATGATTCCCATTCCCAATACCACCGTCGCTGGTAGCCCTCACTCTAGTCATCTCCTCTCTCTCATGTCGTCGGGACTTGGGCGTCGGCTCATCATCTCCTCTCTCTCTTCGTCGCAAGACTCGCGACTCTTCTCCCCACCATTGCAGCAGATCCGTGAGTTGGGTTTCAAGATCTGTTTTTATTGTATCTTCCAGAAAAGATGCAGCTTGTTTGATGTTTGGGTTTCAAGATCCGTGAGTTGGGTTTCAAGATCTGCTTTTATTGTATCTTCCAGAAAAGCTGCAGCTTGTTTGATGTTTGGGTTTCAAGATCTGTTTTTAACTTCCGTGAGTTAGGTTTCAAGATTTGTATAGTTTAGCTGATTCGTGAAATCTCTGTCTGTATGAAGTATGAATAGTAAATGATGAGGATTTTTGTGCTTAGAGTTAGTGAATTGCATATTTGCAGGCACTGTTTTTAGAGTAATAGCTGTCCGGCTGTCCCTGTAAATATGGTTTTGAAATGAAGCTGTTTGCCTATTTTCACAAGTATAATTCTATAAATGTGTTATGCATATGCTACAAAATTGGAGCCATGGTTCAAATTTAGAATTCTGTAATGAATTATTTCCAATGTCCTATACAATTTTCATAACTGCAGGAATTTTGGGGGTATAACTGTTATAATTGAAAACTACTAGGGGTGAAACTGTAAAAACTGAAACCTGGAGAGAGAAACAACGGGCACCCGCTGGTCCACCCGTACCCGTATAGGGTAGGGCACGGGTCCAATATTTTAGACCCGTATACATCGACCCGTATTAGACCTGTACCCGTGTGGCCCGTACCCGTAAGGACTCGACCTATAGCCGGCCCACCCGCCCGTTTTGCCAGGTCTAGTTGTGGGTAGTTGAAGTTAGGGGTGTTCGGTTCTGGGTACCCTGCACTTTTTGAAGGAACCGGAGCCGGAACCGGAACCGATGTTTCCTTGAAATTTGGAACCAAAACCGAAACCGACGGTTCCGATTCCTAGGTACCCAGAACCAGAACTTGTAACAACGATTTCGGTTTAGGTTCTGGGTACCCTGTAAAATTATGAACCCCCCAAAAGTTTTTAAAATGGCAAAAAAACCCTTAAAAACTTACAAATACGCCCCTACCTGGCACTTGTTAACAAAAATAAAATTACAAATTATAAATTCAAAATTACAAACTCCATTACTTTATAAAGTTAGATTCTCAGAAGTCAAACCAACTTACTTTAAAAGTTATGAAATATAAATATAAATGTATTTACATTACTTTTTCTACAAAAGTTTTTATTAACCCCCCTAATATTTAATTTTATTTTATATTAGTCTTGGTTCCTGGTTCCTGGTTCTGGTTCCGGTTTCTAACTATAGGAACCGGAACCGGAACCGCACATTAACGATTCCAAAAATTTGGAACCGGAACCGGAACTGCACAGTAACGATTCCAAAAATTTGGAACCGGAACCTACCCATTGACGATTGGTTCTGGGTAGGAACCGGAACCAAACCCAGGGTACCCATCAGTTCCGGTTCCAACCGGTTCTTTTGAACACCCCTAGTTGAAGTATTCTTTGGGTATTTTTAATTAATTATTTTAGTCAATTATGACACACATTAATTTACCAAAACCATAAGGACTAAAATTATTTAACTCTATCTTGTTCAAATTAAGTTTGGGAGAAAGAGATGGTAAATCTTTTTCACCTTACACCATTAATAATCACAATTTAACTGAATAGGGCCATAAAGCTCAAATGGAATTATGCATATAGCAGACAAGTAAGGAAGTTTCATTCTTTTCATAAACCCTACCAAATCTGTTTTCTTTTTAATTTTAGTTATCAATAAACCCACAACCCTTTTGAATAAAGGCTGATCAATCTGAAATTTACATTCTTCAACAGAAACATATCCATATATAAATTTAATTTTCAGGTGAAGTAGCATAGCTTTATCCGTTAAATTTGATAATAATTTAAATTAGAATAGGGTCCATCTGACTAAGATTCTGAGTCATCCTCGTCACTGCCACCGCATAATACTCCCTTCTGTCCCACTTTCGCCCATTCTATATACTACAATATTATTATTATTATTATTATTTTATAAGGTGATTGATCAATTGTTATGTGAATAAAACACAGAAGGCGTCTGATTGGAGGTTATTGGAGATTATTGAGATTAAGTCATCTTATATCTTGATTACCACATTTAGTTATCAAATAATATAAGATACCGATAATCTTCAAATACCACAATAGTGATTACTATTAATAATATTAGAGATAATCTGATTACCTCTATTTTCTTAGATATTCTAAGATTACTAAGATTATCTTTTTTTATTACAATTCTATCTCTTATTAATAAAATTTTAGGACAATAATACTCTGATTTTTGAATTCTTTACATGAATATGGCTTTTACTATTTCACCCAAATTAATTAATTTTTTGGACAAAATTACTCTTGAATTCAAAACAAATTGCAGTCCTCCCAAGCCACCACCCCCACCCACCTGCCGCCAACAACCACCACCGCAGCCAGCCACCGCCGCCTCCGGAACGACGCACGGAAGGCTGAAAATGGTCGTCATACGCCCATATGGCCATTTCCAACCAAATCTAATTTGGTTGTCAAATGCTAGATCTGTCGATCCAGCCGTCAGTGGCCATCGATTTGGCCGTTGACGACCAGATCTGTCATGTTTGGCCATTTCTGGCCAGATCTTTGGCTAGAAATGGTCATACGACACACAGAGGCCATTTTCTGTCTTTCGTGCACCATTAGGTTGTCGGCTACCGACGGCCTGCGATGGTTGCCAGCGGCCGATAATGGCTAGGTTGGTGAGGGTGCTTTGTTAATTTTTTAAACTTTTATTATAAGATTGTTTTTGCTAAGTTTTTAAATGCAGGGGGTTATTATAATTCAAATAACAATTAATATTAAAAAATAATAAATAATAATATTTAATTAGACGATAATTCATAAATTTAAATAACATACCTACCAATTTACTCTTTCTAACCAAACATATTAATATAACATACCTACCAATTTACTCTTTCTAACCAAACATATTAATATAACATACCCACCAATTAACCAAATACATTTTTCTAAAGATTTTCAATAATTTTCAAACTAATCTAACATTCCGCTATAAGGAGGGGCCGAGGAATCATTTTATCAACCCTAAATTATTGCGATAATTAAACAGGACCCAGCTAAAAATCAGTCTTTGCACCATTCTCAATTACCTCAACGTTTGTTGGCTTCATTCACTTTGATTCCAAAATATCCCAACTTTCAATCTCTTCAACTCATCCAAATCCCGGCATAAGCTGGCTGTATTAACCGACAAATTTCGAACCCATATGATAATCACTGTGACACAGAGCAATCCAAGAATGGACTTTGTGGTAAAAGACAAAGAAAATATGCTATTTAACTGCAATTTGCAAGCTACTGTTCAAAGATAACATACTCTTTATCTTGTGAATTCTTGAATAAGATTACAATATCCAATCCAAAAATCAATCAATGAAATTTGGCACGGCTCAATGAATAACAAAAAAAAATATACTTTTGAGCCCTGGTTAGGGAAAATACAATCATAGACATATTATCAATTGCAAACCCAAAAAAAAAAAAAAAAATACCATAATATCACCACGCTTTAAATGCTAGACTAAAGCACCTTTTGCTTCAAGTTCCATTTCCATCTTATTATCTGCTTTGCTCAAAACCCCACATAAATCCATACTTCCTGCAACCAAATCATCCACTCTTTCTTCCTCGGTGGATGGTAATGGTAAGTTTATGGATAACTCCCCAATTGATGCTAGTTTTAGTATCTCTGACTCGTTTAATCCCTTTGCCGCTCCAATACTACATGTCTCAGCCCCAACATGCTTGGCCATTGCATCTTTGAATTTTTTTATCTGCAATAGGAGAAATTTTTGTTTAGAACTATTGATTCATTGTTGTCAAGATGATTAAGGAACAAAATTGATTAATGAAATACTCACAGTTGCATTTGTGCAGCTAAAGCTACACAGATGTCCATCAGCTCCTCTATAGAATCTAAAGAATGGAAGGACATGAATGTGGAGACTTTGACACATAGTTCTGAGTTCTTCATAGTTCACTTTTAGAAAAACTGCATCTGGATGCAGTTCAGCCAGCTGACAGATCTGGTTAAAAACATAGAAACTATTAACATTAAAGGAAAAAAAAAAAAATATATATATATATAATGGATTGATTCAATATCCCAGAAATTGAAGAATTTATACCTTGGGATGTAGAGCCTTGCAACCACCACAGCCAGGAGAATAGAAGTCAACTACAACCAGTCTATCACCAGCATTGAGCAAAGAATCAACAAGTTCTTGAGCTGAATGGATCTCTATCATGTTTGGTTTAAGGGTCTTCTCCCACCATCTAAGAGATCTACTAACACAGACTGATGCTCGTGCCTGAAACCAGATTGGACATAAGATTCAATACAAAATTTTATTAAAAAAAAAAAAAAAAAAAAGTTCTTTCAGAAGCAAAAATGTAGCAAAGAATTTACATACATGAACAGCGAATTTGTTTGTTGCTTTGATGTTCCAAGCTCTTAAACGTTTCTGATCCGAGACAACTAACGGTTGGCCATTGAAATCAATACTTAAACCTGAAAAATTTCTGGTTTGAAAAAAGCCAACAATCCCTTTGGTTTTAGAGCCTGGAATAATAAGAGTCTCATTGGACCCAGAAACGTAGAAACCACTCTTCAATGAACAGGACATTTTTATAAGTAAAATAAAGGCTTTTTTTTCTTTCAAGCTTACAGCATTAAACAAGCAGAACCCACAAAAACCCAGTTCACTTTTTGGATCTAAAGCCAATATCTTGAATACAAACTGTCGGCATTTGAAGATTGGGACAAGGAAAAGAAACTCAAAAAACCCTTTGGAAACAAGAAAATAAAAAACCCAGACCCACTTTCTTTTTTTTCCAATCAGTGCAAGATTTTCACAAAAAGATGTGATCTTTTTTACTAGAACACAGTAGTTTCAATAGAGGAAATGTGAGAGTTTGTTTTATTTGCTCTGGCAAAAGCATGAAAGAAGAAGAAGAACAGGAAGAATTAAACAGGTTGGTTGCGAGGGTATAATATAGGAAGGAGGTAAGTGGGGTCAAATTGATTTGGATTTAAACATTATCCAAAATTTATATTTCATTTATAGTAAATTTTCTTTATTTATCACGATTTGGATAATGGAATCGGTGTCTGATGTGTAAGTTGACTGGTATTGAGGATAATTAGGGCTTGTTTATAGGAAGTGAGTTGGGCATATTTAAAAAGATTCCCTTTATTTCCGGTACAAATAGTTTTGTCATATTACCATGTTGTCCCCTAAAACGCCTAAATTTAGGGTAATTAGATGTGTTTTTATGGCTTTTCAGAAAAACGTGGATAAGGTTGAATTATACTATAGAGAGAAAACAGTATTACCAATACAACAATTCCTCTTGTTTTCTGTTTACTTAGTGGTTCAGGCCTCACTTCCCAAGTACATGGCCATGCTTTTCGTTTCACAGATACACGTTTATAACCTTCATTTCATGACACGACATGAACCCGTTTTACTATTTTTAGTGCAAAAAAAACAAAGTCTATTTTAATTACTTATCCACAACTTTTCTTTTTGTTTCGCAATCGGATTAACTGAAATGTTAACTGTTTTGGTGGTAATTTACAGTCAGATATTTGTCGAGAGGATGATGCCAGTTCATGCTAGATAAAGTTCACTCAGTCTCAGTCTCAATCTCAATTTTTCGTTTCCTTTTATTTTAATGGGATGAGATTGGATATTAAGTTATTGCCCACAGGATTTGGAGGTTTCGGTGACCCACAGAGAGGGAGGGAATCCATTGTATTGGAACTTGGTTTGATAAAACCAAGGGCAGAGGTATCTTCCAGAACAAGTCCATGGATTTTGGATATTTCATTTCCAGAGTGATTTACAATTCAGGATTCAGCCATGCCCACATTTGTCTCAATCTGGACACACTAGTCGATGGAATTTTAATATTTAGAAATCACAACAAATCTTTGTTATAATCCAAATGATGAAAAAGTTTGTATTTCTCTAATCAAATTTGACTCCTAAAATGTGAGCTCATAACATATACAGGTGAAGGGCACTTTGAATTGTCACAATATAACTTGATGAGTTTAATATTCAATATTGCAAGTTGAACATGTAATAAATGAGTGCCCCAATTGCTGGTCTGGGGCACCAACCAGAATCACATAGAAGCCTGTGAATTGTGAATCATTTGGAGAAGGGCACATCTCTAAGTAAATATTTATGAGAGAAAGATGCGGAGCAGTATGGGCAATGGCCTCGGCCTTATATAAAATACTGAAAAGAATCAAAAGATTGGATTGGATTGGATTGGATATTTGAGTGGAGGATTAAAAGTGGTGCAGAAATAGTCCACAAGGCTGCAGCTCCGAAGGTTTTGTGTACTTAAAATTGCTAAATAAAAAAGCAAAGGAAATGAAGGATGGATAACATGTAGAAAGAATCCAAGAATTTGAGATAGAGTTTAATGTATACTTTAAAAGCACATTTGGATAGCTTAAATAATAAACTCTTTCTTGTCCATTACATCTTATCCATAATAGATCAGAAATGGATCAAACATTGTAGTTTATCCATAATATCAACTTTCGTTTTCATGAGATTGACCATGCAATTAATCCATGGGTTTCAAATTGAGCAGTGAGGCTTTTGGAGGCTTTAAATTAGAGTCCAAAAGCTTGTGCTTGTTGCAACCGAAAAAAAATCACACTCCATCTTATAGGCTATAGATGCAACTAATTACAAGAATAATCTTTTTTGGATGACATTAATCACTGCTAGAAGTTCCCCAATCCCCCTAGAAGGCAAATGCAAATTGCAAAATAAAAGGACCAACCATAATTTTAACATTTAAAATTGAAAATGCTTAATTGTCAGAAGTGGGATTTGAACCCACGCCCTCTTTCGAAGACCAGAACTTGAGTCTGGCGCCTTAGACCACTCGGCCATCCTGACATTATCTGGAGATCTTTGATTGTTTTATTAATTAACAATAACTCATCATAGTAATAATACGTCCGCAATCACCCACATAATTTCCGCAAAGTAATAAAAAACAGCTGGTCAGTTTTCATTTTTTTTTTATTTATAATTTCTGGGGCTACATATGATGGATGAGTATTGATGTGTTTTATGGGGATGTTTTCTTGTTGATGGAAGACAGTCTGCTAAAATGAGTTGAGTATTTCATAGAGAGTTAACGACATGTTCCCACCCAAAAAAAGTTTCATTGACATTTTTCCACCCTCAAACTTTTAAAACACCCTCTTACTACCCAAATAATATGTTTCCCTCTGATTTGGGTGGAAAATATAGTGATTTACGAAAAAGCCCTCTTTTTAGCGGATGATGGGTTTAGTAAAGAAATTGAGCAACAGTTAAAAGATAGAAAAGAATCAGAATTCAAATGGGTGAATGGAATCCTGAAATTTAGAGATAGAGTGTATGTTCCTCAGGATATTGAATTGAGAAAGAAGATTTTAGAGGAAGCACATAGTACTCTCTACACTGCTCATCCAAGGAGTGTAAAGATGTAGCAGGATTTGAGAAAGAGCTATTGGTGGCCAGGGTTAAAAAAAGATGTAACTAAGTATGTTACCAGATGCTTGGTGTGCCAGCAGATTAAAGCAGAACATCAGCGCCCTTCATGATTGTTGCAGCCCCTTAGTATTCCTTTGTGGAAATGGGAAGATATTTCTGTGGATTTCATTTTAGGTCTTCCTAGAGTGCAAAGGGGTTATAATACCATTTGGGTGATTGTAGATATATTGACTAAATCTGTTCATTTCATTCCAGTTATAGACAAGATCTCCTCTGATCAGTTGGGCTGATTATATGTCAAAGAAATAGTAAGATTACATGGAGCACCTAGTAGTATTGTCTCAGACAGGGATGTAAAATTTATGTTAGTATTCTGGAGTAGAATGAAGAAGGCATTGGGTACTAGGCTTAATTTCAACACAGCCTATCATCCTCAGACGGATGGACAGACAGAAAGAACGAATCAAATATTGGAGGATATGTTACGGGCTTGATGTATGGATCACAAGTTGAATTGGTGTGACATTCTCCTTCTAGTTGAATTTGCTTATAACAATAGTTATCAAGCAACCATTAAAATGGCACCATATGAAGCCTTGTATTGAAGGAAATGTAGGTCTCTGTTACATTGGGACGAAATAGGAAAAAGGAATGCATTAGCTCAAGCTCTTGGTCCAGAAATGACACAAAAAATGATAAAAAATGTAAAGTTAATCCGACAGAGAATGAAGCAGGCCCAAGACAGACAGAAGAGCTATGCAGACCTGAAAAGACAGGATATAGAGTTCCAAGTAGGAGACAAAGTGTTTGTGAAAATCTCTCCTAATAAGTGGGTGATGAGGTTTGGAAGAAAAGGGAAGCTTGCCCCTAGATATATCGGTCCATATGAGGTATTAGAGAAAGTGGGCAAAGTAGCTTACAGACTTGCCTTACCAGCCAGTATGGACCGGGTCCATAATGTTTTCCATGTTTCCCTGTCGCGAAAGTATGTTAATGATCCTTCACATATACTACAAGCAAATAAAGTGGAGTTAAAGGATGAACTAATTTATGAAGAACGTCCAGTTCAGATTCTGGATAGAAGAATAAAAGAGCTCTGAAATAAGAAAGTACCGCTTGTTAAAATACTGTGGAGGAATCATAATGTAGAAGAAGCGACATGGGAGGTTGAGCAAGATATGAAGGAAAGATATCCAGACCTCTTCAACTAAATTTCGAGGACGAAATTCTTATAAGGGGGGGGGATGATTGTAAACCCTACGTTATTATTCCGATGCCCTAAGGTATGAAATTTACCTTTTCAAGTAATTTTCTTTTTTTGAATAGAAGGGTAAAATGGTCAATTTGCATGCATTTCAAGATGTGGCCATTATAAAGTGTAAGGGGTGATGTCATTGAAGAGAAATGAGGGTAGAATGGTCATAAAGTTGATTGATATGGTTAAATGGCGTAAACGGTAACCAAGGGTATAATGGTCTTTTCATACAAATCCATATGAATTAAGTATCCATAAAAGTGCACCAAGGGTAAATTAGTCATTTACCTAATAGGATTGCTTAATTATTAAGTGTTTAAAAGAAGTCAAATGGCATTAAATGATTGCTAATCATTATGTTGTAGTAGAAATGACCAAAATGCCCTTATATGCAAAATTTATACCAAATGACCCATATCTCTAACTTTTGATGGCCAATCCCATTTGGGAATTAAAAAAAATGAAATATTTATAACATATTTCCTTGGTTAAGTCGGCCAAAACTCTTAGAACATCAAACTCTCTTCTTCAAGTCTCATCTCCCTCCATTAAAGGCTTAAATTCAAGCTCTCTCTCTCAAAATTTTCATAGGATTTCAAGTTTAATTTCAAAGGAGATCACCATCCACACTTAAAGAAATTCAATTTCAAGGTTTAAGGTGAGTTTCAAAACCCTAGTTGTTCTGATTTTTAGTTAAAAGAGAAATTCATAAGTGGTTATGTGTGTAAGGTAGAAATGGTTAACCTTTGGAGCTAATGAGGAGTGTTTTTTTTTTTTTATTTTTATGTTATGTAAAAATCTTTCTTTTTTTTTTTATTGATAACACCTAGGGTTTATGAAACTTACATCTATTTATGTTAATTTGAGTGTGATGCTATGTTTTGGTTATGGATTGTGTAAATGGGTGTGTTGATTGGTGTATGTGTGCATATGGAGGATGATTATGCCAATTAAGAAATTTGTAATTGGATGATGTTTTGGCACTTTTTGGTTCTGTAAAAAGGGAGGTTTTTATGGCCTTTTATACTTAGAATGACATGGAAAATACTATGAATGTGTCGGTGTCTAGCAATCATTTGCTTGTGTAATACACTAGCCATTGAATTCTATCCTCTTCCCGAATGAGAGTTGCGCTGACCGCAAACTAAGAGATGGATAGGCAGAGAAATAGGATTTCCTTGGGAAGGGGCATAGACAGAAGAGGTGGCTTTCCGATGTGCTCTTTTATGCTTAGGAAGGCTCTCTCACACTCTGGAGTCCATTCAAATCTCTTGTTGGCCCTGAATATATTGAAGAACGGCAAACAACGATTTGTTGCTCTCGATATGAAGTGATTGAGAATCGTTATTCTCCAATTCAAGCTCTGAGCTTGCTTTTGATTGGCGGGACTTTTCATATCTTGGAGAGCTTTGATCTTCTCAGGGTTGACTTCAATTTCCCGATGGTTAACCATATACCCTAGGAATTTCCTTAAGGATACTCCGAATGAACACTTAAGAGGATTAAGTTTCATTTTATACCTTCAAAGTATGTCGAACATTTCTGCGAGGTTAGCTATGTTATCTGCAGCGACATGCGACTTAACCAGCATGTTATCAACATAGACCTCCATTGACTTCCTAATCTGCTCGAAAAACATATGGTTAACTAGACACTAGTAGGTCACCCCAACGTTTTTTAGACCAAAGGGCATGACTTTATAACAGTACAATCCTTGATTCATAATAAACGAGGTATGTTCCTCATCGGGCGTGTATATCGAGATCTGATTATACCCTAAGTAGGCATCCATGAAGTTTAATAGCTCATGCCTGGAAGTGGCATCGACGATCTAATCAATTCTAGACAAAGGAAAACTGTCCTTTAGACAAGTTTTGTTGAGATTCGTGAAATCAACACAGGTTCGCCATTTGTCGTTGAGTTTCTTCACCAAAACAGGATTGACGACCCAACTCGGGTAATGAGCCTCCCGAATGAATCCGATTGAGAAAAAGTTTATCCTCCTCAACCTTAAGAGTAGCATAACACTCTGGGTCTATGGCTCTTCTTTTCTGGCGAACCAGCTTGACCTCACTGTTGATGTTGAGTGCATGACATATTACATTCGGGCTGATCCCAATCATGTCAACATAAGTCTATGCAAAAACATCAATATTACTGTCTAAGGAAGCTTGTTAGATCGGTAGCAAGCTGAGGGCTGAGATTGCTTCCGATTCTCAACACACGAGTTAGCTCATTCTGGTCGACTAATATCTCAAATAGAGTCTCAACAGGCCCACCATGGGAATACTCCTTCCTGAACATGAGGATTTATATTGTCTTCCACTGGACCTGGTTATGGTTTGATCCTACTGATCGTCATAGCCTGCTCGAGAACACCCATTGGCTTCTCTTTCCCTTTGCATGTCATCTGCACTGCTCTTACATAGCAGTCGCGAGATTCACACTGATACCCTTTGACCTCCCTACACCCCATCGCGATTGGAAATTTCATCTTCAGATGATAGATGGAGGTGACAACTTTGAAGTTTTGAAGTAGAGGTCATCCTAATATGCCATTGAAAACGGACGGACAATCTACCATTAATAATTATGTCATCTTGGTCACTTCGTGGGTCTCACCCAAAGTGACAGGAAGTGCAATTGTTCCCTTGGGAATTAAATGATCCCCTGTAAAGCCATAAAATGGGATAGAGGCAGGCTTCAGATCTGCCTCTTCCAATTGTATTTCCTCGAATTCTCGCTGAAATATGATATTCATGGCGCTCCCATTATCCACCAACATTCTGTGGACTTTGCACTGACCTATTTCAGCTGCGATGACGAGTGCATCCTCATGAAGGTGATGCAATCGTATCGCGTCTTTCTCTAAGAAGGTAATCTCCTCCTCTTTGCGCACCTTAGCAAGTCGCTGCACCGTGTTTAACAAACTCACGAGGTCATGGCAAGCTTCCCGAGCATACTTCTCCTAAACACCTCGAGAATACCCCGCGAGGTACGGCCCTTAAAATATAATTCCAAAGAAATGGAGGCCTTTGTGACCATGGCGCTTCTTCCCATCGTCCTCTTAATCTTTCTCCTGAATGAGAGTCAGACCATCAACATACTCCTTGAAGTGTCCCCGTTTAATAAGGTCTTCAATAGCCTATTTAAGAGCTCAGCATTTATCGATATGGTGCCTATTATCCCGATGATAACCATAATATTTCTTGCTGTTTCTTATTGAAGAGGGATTTTTCATGGGCTCTGGCTCTCCAAGCAGATTAGCTTCCTTTGATTTATCCAGAATAACTGATACTGATGCATTCAATGAAGTGTATTGATTCTTGTCACCATCGCGATGAGGAACTTGGGCATAAGATTTTTTGAGCTCAAACCATTGCTTCTTTCCTTTCTCTAATCGTCATTAGCCCATTTGCTATCAGACATTCTACTACTCTCTTCCTGGTTTTCCTCCCTCCAATTGGGAGCACTGGTCGAAGGACCGGGGTCGTGGCAATTCAAAGCAGCCATTGAATTTTCGATTCTGAGATATTTCTCAATAAGGTTGTAGAAGCGGGTGAGGGAAATATCGTCCTCGAATTGCAATTTTTTCCATAGGTCGGTTTGCGGGCGAACTCCCGCAATAATAAGAGTTCAAACTGAATCTTCGAGTGTATTAGCCACCTTGTTCAGCTCTCTGTGGAACCTATCAATATAGGACTAGAGGGATTTATTCTTCTCCTGCCGTATGTTGCTCAGATAGATCAACGGCATTAAGAACTTCATATTAGCCTGGAAATGTCTAAAAAATAACTAACTAATCTGTTGCCATAAGTTGATAGATCCTAGCGGAAGCGATCTAAACTAGCGCTTAGCATAAGCAGTCAGAGTCACTACTAAGCAGCGATATTTCGCCAAGTTGGAAACTTGGTGAAGCTCCATGAGGTCGTTAAACTCATAGAGATGATCCTGTGGATCAAAATTCCTATTGAATGCTCGCATATCGGGCATTCTAAATCTTAATGGGAGAGGAGCAGTCAAAACTACTGGAGAAAAGGGAGACGCCTCAGCAACCTGCCCTCGCTCATTCTACTGAGCTTTAAGTTGATCCAGAGCTCGTTGTAACTCCTCAATCGAAGGAAGTAGAGCCACCTGCAGATCACTTTCTACAATGTGGGTTCACTCCCCACAATTACGATTGAGGAAAGACCGCAGATTGGACTTTTCATTGCCTCGGTCGGAGCCTTCGACATACCTTGACACAGCTGGCTAGAGCCATGTGAAGGCACTAAATGGCTTAGGGAGTTATCCTGACCTCCACGATGGTCAAAACTGACCCGCGTGCGGTGGGTATTTCCCTCACGATGATGGTCGAAACCATCATTCTAACGATGGTGGGAATCTCTATGTCGTACACTCCTGTGGGGGTACCCATGCGATATGGTGTAAGACAGCTCATGATGTGACATACCGCCAAGTCGCAAGCCACAAGTATTCTACCTGCCTCACGACCGATATTCACTGGCCCCTTCAAGACTTTTGGCCCATTGTCAGCCACCTGTTTTCCCTTATTTTTACATGCTTTAGTGTGCGTGGTATGAGCTTTCGTCCATTTCCACGCTTTAGCGTGACCCACAGGCGTTTTTGGAGGTGGTATCGCCTTATCAGAATTAGGTGGTACGACCTAATCCAAATTATTTAACCTTCGGTTAACCATTTAGAGAGTATTATTGAACCTCTCTAGGTAATTCATCACAGGTGGATCAAGCTGAGAGGTCAAGGGAATGTCTATCGCGATACCTTGAGGAATTGGAGGCACTTCGGGAGAAGTAACATCCTATACTTGAGGGATTTTCTCATTGTTGGTGCTAGTTCGCTCGATTTCAAAACCACAAGCCATTTGTTCACAAGTAGAACTGATTGATTAGAGATTCTGAATGAAGAGCGGATATAAAATCAAGCCCTCCTTTTAGCGCCAAACTATTGATGCGTGATTTTGACACCAAAGACTCACATGTGCAAAGTGCTAAGGCGTTCTTATAAATTACACGTGAATGATTATAATCAGATACAAAGACTAAAAAATAAATGAGAGATATGATTTTTAAAGTGGTTCATATGCTTAAAGCAAATCCTACGTCCATTATTTCTTTTATATATGTGAGATTACAAGAGGTTCCGTATAGCGAACAGCAAACAGAGATACAACAACTGAGTATTCAGAGAGAATATCAAGTCAATCTCTTTCTCGTAGGTTATCTTTGCTCTGAAAATAAAGATTACAATCAGAATGAGGGTTCGGTATCAGAATTCCGAAAATGAGAGGGGGAGTCCTCTATTTATAGTAAAGGAATTCAAGGTAATTATCACAAATCTGCAAGTGGGTAGGTGTCGTGCAAGTCTTTCCTTGTCTCCCATTGGCTGATAACTTGGGAAATATCCTCAAATTATCTAGGGCTTGGACAGGTTTGCAGTCCTCAGTCACTCATAGACAAATCCTAAATCTGCTAAGTCGGTGACAGCCATATTTTTTCTGTCGTGGGGCAATGTGGCAGCTCCTGGACAGCGCAAAGCCTTCCTGAACTCTAATTAGTGTCCACTGACGTTGGCTAACATTAGCCCTGATTTTTTAGGCATTTCAAAAATTAATTTTAAAGAAAATGAAGAGTATGTTTTTATTGGATTTGAGAATTAAATTCCGTTATGTGTTTGTGTTGGAGATTATTAGTTGAGGAGTGAGGAAAGTAATGCAAAAAATAATTTTCTCAAGTAAATAAATATTTTAATAGCCAACAACATAAGACTTAAGAAGAATAGTATATACAAATTATATGTATGAATGGTTTAGCTAATTAAAACATAGAAAAATAATTACTTCCTCCCAGCTTCTTCCAATTCTTGAAGTCCTCCAACCTTTTGCTCAATCTCCTCAATTAGCTCCTCCCTCCATAACTCTGCTCTTGCTTCTTCTTCTACTTCTTCTTGCTGCTCATCACCATTTAATTATTACAAGTGAGAACATCTTTTTACTTACTTATGCTTTTACAAATTACCAACAATTTTATGTTTTCTTTTTTGGTAACAAATCGAGAATAAATTATATAATCTCTTTAATGAAACAAAAATTTGAGTACCTTCTCATAGAACCAGTGTCCAGTACCATCTCCTCCATCTCCTCTGTACACTTCTGAGTCATAGTATGGATCCTAAACAATATTATGCTCTTCTAAATCAGATACCCAGTTATTCCAAACTAATGAAATTAAGTTTATGTTGTGAATATTAGTGCTTACTTTTGTGGCACTAAAGAACATGCATCCCCAGCAAGTGAACATGATGTAGAAAAGATCTTCACCATAATAACGAAACAAAAAAACAAGTAAATATTACTTAAAATTGAAAGCATAGAAGATAGGTGTATGAAGGGAGTAACCAAATACTTACAGACGTTCTTAATGGCTTGATCACTGAGATGCCAAACGGATTTGTTAGTTATAAGATCTCTTTGCCCTTCTGCATGCTCAACTAGAATGGCCATTAGAGGCCAATCTGGCAATGCATTTGCTTTACTTAAAGAAGCCCTTTTCTTTTTGCTTCCGTCAACCTTATTAATAACCCAAAATTATTACATTTTCTTTATATTCCTGGCAACCATATACAAAGAAATACTATACATATATACCTGCTGCCACCCATTAAAAAGTCTAGTTCTTGGACACTGCCTACGCTGCAAGAAATTAAGATACTAATTCATTTTCAGTGAGTGAAATCTTCAAACAGAGTATATAGATGGGGGAGAATTTACCAATTTTGATGCTTGGAAAGAGGAGTGAACATTTGGGTTGGCAATGGTGAAAGTGAAAATAGCGTCAGCCATGGTTTAGAAAAAAGAGAGGTGTGGTAGTGTGATGAAATGTGGAAGGTTTATGAGGGCAGGAGGGAAAGTGGATAAGGAAATCATTTGTATCCACCCTTTCTTTTGCTACACATTCAACTTGTTAGATGTGAACCACCACTGTATGGCCTCATGATAAAAGAACAAAAGGAAATTCTCCAGTTTTTGAGTTCGAGTCACCCCAGACGCTAATAGGGGTAGTTATTGCAAGATTATCAGTCGGACTTTAAGACTCCAAGGGATTAGTTGAAATACGTGCAAATTGGTCCGAACATTCCTAGTGACAAAAAAAAAAAAAAAAAAAAAAAAAACTTAGTTGCATGTGGGTGACTTATGTTCCATTTAATGACCACCGTGTTCCTTTATGTATTGGTTAATCAGTTTGTCCAGATTTTGGGAATAAAAACAATTGAATTAAAGTATATAGTCTCCTTTGTCACAAATGGTTGCACCAAAATAGACCTGATCGAATTAAAATATATAGTCTCAGACTTCTTTTTTCTTTTATTAAATGTAAGATCTAAAAAAATATACAATGAGAGACTTTATGGTCATGTGGATTGATACCCATTATGATTTTTTTTTTTTTTTTTTTCAAAGCTAGCATTATTGTGTCCCCTTAATTCTTTTTGGAATGTATGTGTTGATGGTAATTTTTGGCAAAGAGGCCCAATATCCTATTACACGGCCCGCATAAGATCTTAGGCCTAAACGAAGCTACAAAAAAGCCTCACGCATGGCCAGATCACGGGCTCCTTAAAAAAACCCAGAAAGTCAATTCCGAGGATCATGATACTATTCAAAGGCCCAAAACCCTGTTTGTTGATTCTCAGGATTGTTTTGTTCCTCAAAAAGCCCAAACAGTTGATTCCCAGGTTTTACCAAATAAAAGTCCCAGACTGTCATTCTTATTATTGATATAAGACCACGTTGACATTTTTGTCAGTGTAAGACCACTCTTTATCAAGGCTGTGGGCATTCCTACCAAATATAAAAGTCTTACCATTTCTCAAGGCTCTGGCACATTCCATACAAAACCACCCTTTATAAAAGCTCTGACATCAGATACACAATAACAAGCAACATGCAACTACAACATTAAGTAATTCTTTTTCGAGAAGGATTAGCCATTCTTCCCATTCCGCAAGAAATAGAATAATCTCAAGTAGTTAGCAACTGAGAATACAATAGAACTCAATCTAGTAGTTCACCTGGAAAGGAGAAAGAATAGACATATCAGTTTAGGAAAGTGAGATAGATCACTTTTTACTATCTACTCAGTGAAGCAAGGGAAAGAGAATATCATATCTTTCATAAATGCGGATGGACTCGAGCCACTTCCATGGGGCATTATCAGATAAGAAAATCTAATATGACTTATCAGAAATTAAAACGTTTTTATTTTCTTGATCATAACTGGACATTTCAATTTTAATAAGCGTGAAAAACTCTTTTACAAAAAAAACCCTAAAAATGTATTTCAAAAATTTATTCTAAATTTTTTTGAAACTATTATAATATTCGAGGCAGTAAGAGAACAAGTATTTATTATCAAATTCATTTTCAATGGGCGTCTAGGTTCTTTTATTTGCAGGACTTTTTTTTTTTATTTCTTTTGAGATTATTACTTATTTTTTCTGCAGTAATTTTTTAATAGAATTTATATTCCAAAACACCATCAACAGGTTTAGCCAGGATATTTATGTTAAAAAAACAAATATGTTTACGGTGACCGGAACACCAGTTGGCCTATTAGCTCAGCTGGTTAGAGCGTCGTGCTAATAACGCGAAGGTCGCAGGTTCGAGACCTGCATGGGCCAAATTTTATTTTACCTTTCTATTCCTTGATTGGGTTGGGCTGATTGGTCCAAACTTAAGAGATTTGATTGGGCTAATTGGTTCGAACTTAAAATGGTTAACAGTCCAGTTGGCCTGATTCATCCCCCCGCCCAAGATTTCTGACTTTGGATTTTGAAAATTTTGACCCGAAACGAACAGTTCATCCACGTCAAGTGTGAACCAGTTGAAGACTTGAATTAAACATAATTTAAAGAGTTAACTATTTTTTCCCACCCAAATAATGGTTTAGCGATACTTTTTTACGTATAGACTTTTAAAATACTATTTTACTACTTAAATTTATATTCTTGCGACGAACAAAGAGTAAACTCAATCTAGACAATTAGGGCTTTTGAAGAGGGGAGGTTGATCTATCTTTTGGTGATGGAATGTTAGATTTTGATAGTTATGATTGATCGGAATTTGACTTAGGAGGGGCGACTAAGCAAACTTTAATCGCTCGATTGCCGGTGATTAGCAAAGTCGGCAGAAATAGGATTTGAGAGGTTTTTGTGAGTGATGATCGAGGAAGAGAATGGTGATGGTGTGGGGTTGCAACGATGCCGAAATAAAAAATGAAATATAAATTTGGGTAGTAAAATGATATTTTGAAAGGTATGGGTAGAAAAATATCATTAAATTATTATTTAGGTGGGAAAAAGTCATTTACTCTAATATTAATTATATGATTGACTCACTGAAGAGGTCTTCATAAAACAACTATAGTTGTCAATAAGTTATTATTAAGATAAGACTAATCATATTCTAATGCCTTAAATTAGTTATTAAGATATTAATAATTATATCATGTAATGCCTTCACACTATATTAAGATAATTTTGATCAACATTTAATATACATAAGCCCCTGTGTTCCAACTTGTTTTTGTATTTTAAAATCTAAATATTATAGAAGAGAAATCCCTTATGCTCCACGAAAGTCTTGATTAATAAATTAAAGAAAGGTCGAACGACATCCTTCCACCAAACTTTGTCTTATAGACAATTTCGTACGCAAAAAGTTTTAAAATGACAATTATCCATTTTTCGTTAGTATTTTCTGTTAAGTTTAATTGAAGAAGGATAGGATAGTAAATTTAGAAACATTCAAAGGATAATTATGTCAATTTTATCCCATATATATATAATTGAAGAANAGTTTTCTATTCCTTGATTGGGTTGGGCTGATTGGTCCAAACTTAAGAGATTTGATTGGGCTAATTCGTTCGAACTTAAAATGGTTAACAGTCCAGTTGGCCTGATTCATCCCCCCGCCCAAGATTTCTAACTTTGGATTTTGAAAATTTTGACCCGAAAGTCCGAAACGAACAGTTTATCTACGTCATGTGTGAACCAGTTGAAGACTTAAAGTTAAACATAATTTAAAGAGTTAACTATTTTTTCCCACCCAAAAAATGGCTTAGTGACACTTTTTTAATCGTATAGACTTTTAAAATACTATTTTACTACTTAAATTTATATTCTTGCGACGAACAAAGAGCAAACTCAATCTAGGTTGTTAGGGCTTTTAAAGAGGGGAGGTTGATCTATCTTTTGGTGATAGAATGTTAGATTTTGATGGTTATGATTGATCAGAATTTGACTTAAGAGGGAACTTTAATCGTTCGATTGCCGGTGATTAGCAAAGTTGGTAGAAATAGGATTTGAGAGGTTTTTGTGAGTGATGATCGGGGAAGAGAATGGTAGTAGTATGGGGTTGCAACGATGCCGAATAAAAAATAAAATATAAATTTGGGTAGTAAAATGATATTTTGAAAGTGTATGGGTAGAAAAATATCATTAAATCATTATTTGGGTGGGAAAAAGTCATTTACTCTAATATTAATTATATGATTGACTCACTGAAGAGGTCTTCATAAAACAACTATAGTTGTTAATAAGTTATTATTAAGATAAGACTAATCATATTCTAATGCCTTAAATTAGTTATTAAGATATTAATAATTATATCATGTAATGCCTTCACACTATATTAAGATAATTTTGATCAACATTTAATATACATAAGCCCCTATGTTCCAACTTGTTTTTGTATTTTAAAATCTAAATATTATAGAAGAGAAATCCCTTATGCTCCACGAAAGTCTTGATTAATAAATTAAAGAAAGGTCGAACGACATCCTTCCACCAAACTTTGTCTTATAGACAATTTCGTACGCAAAAAGTTTTAAAATGACAATTATCCATTTTTCGTTAGTATTTTCTGTTAAGTTTAATTGAAGAAGGATAGGATAGTAAATTTAGAAACATTCAAAGGATAATTATGTCAATTTTATCCCATATATATATAATTGAAGAAGGATAGGATAGTAAATTCAAAAACATTCAAAGGTAATTACATCATTTTATCCCACATATATATATATATATATACACACTCGAAAATCCCAATTACACACTTACCCAGCCTTATTGATCGTTTTTTGGCTAATTTTCACCTATATATATATACACACACGAAAATCCACTCTAACCCCGATTACACATTTACCCAGCCTTATTGATCTTTGTTGGCCTAATTTTCACCTCCCCGCAACCAATTGCCCCCACCATGCGCCCGCTATATTCAGGCCAAATTGGCCTGAATATGGCATCATTGAGCATCCCCACCGCCATCAACATACTCCCCACACCTCCCTTAACAAAACCCCTCTCTTTCCCAAGCTGTTTAACCCCCCTACTACCGGCAGCCGCAGACAGTTGACAACCCCAACCATCACCACCCTTTGGTTCACCGGCTTCTCCCTACAAAACCCTTAACCTTTTTGACCCCGACAACCAACTGTTCGCCGTCCGTCACTCAACCTTGGGTTTGTTGCTTTAAAAAAAAAAAAAAAATTGGTTGTTGAAGATTTTTGTCTGATGAAATTGAAGTTTAGGGTTTGTTTGAAGGATTAATTGAAGTATTTTTGTGATTGAATTTGGCCGAAAAACCTAACCATTCATCCTCCCTGCCTAGCTTGTCCACCAATCGTTCATGAAAAGTCCCTAGCCATCTCCCTACATGTAATTCTAGTCACCATTTGCGTGCGAATTTACTATCACATTCTTCTTTAGTTAAACTTAACGAAAAATATTAACGGAAAGTAAATAATTATCATTTTGAAATTTTTGAGTTACGAACTTGATTCTGAGACAAAGTTTGGGCAGGAGGATGTCGTTTGGCCTTAAAGAAAGATTAATACTAGCTTTACAAAGAGGCATACAAAGACCCATACAAAGAGTCAAATCCAGCCCTTAAAATTCATGATTGTCTCTTTCTCTCTCTCTTTTTCACCTCTTTCAAGGGCTAGATTTGACTCTTTGTATGGGTCTTTGTATGCCTCTTTATAAGACTAGTATTACTCTAAAGAAATAATGTTACTACTGTATTTCAATAGTCCACATTCTAGAATTTTCCCTCCTTACAAATCCTATCTTTTACTAAGCAAAATTAATTAAAGACCATAAAAGAAAGAAAAAGCAAAAGATGCATATCACACTTCTAACATTGATAATGTGACTCTGACCAAAAACCTAACGAAATTTCCAACCAAAGTCATCCCCTAACCTCGAGATTATCTTACTTTTCTGGTTTTGTTTATAACCAACCCTCTCTTTTCGCAATTTTTTTCTGACAAAACGATGGGGAAACCCGGACTCCTTGATCTTGAGAAGCACTTTGCCTTCTACGGCGCATATCACAGCAACCCAGTTAACGTTTTCATACACATAATTTTTGTGTGGCCGATTTTCTTCACTGGTCTTATTTTGTTCTACTTTGTACCTCCCGTTTATGATGTTCAGTTTTTGCCATCTGGGTTGTTCGGTTCCGCCCTCGTTTTGAATTTCTCATTCTTGTTTGCCCTGATCTACGCTTTGTTCTATTTTTGTATGGATAAGAAAGCTGGTTCTTTGGCTGCTTTGCTTTGTTTTACTTGTTGGGTTGGCGCCAGTTTAGTTGCTAATAGACTTGGATACTCTCTGGCTTGGAAGGTATTTTATTTAGTTTAAGAAAAGAAAAAGAGTAAATTACATATGATTATCTGTTTGGTTGGCGAGAAATTGTGGGAAAATAAGAGGAAAAAAATCCAGCTTCTGGGTATACCTTTTATTCTTATTTTTATAAATTATACGTACTCTATGATGTGATTGACGTTGGATATATTATCTTATTACAAAGTTTTGATTTTTACGTGTTGCAAACTAGTTTTAGGGTTCGATTGTTGTTTTCTCAGACTTGATGGGTCTAAGGATGTCTTTAGAATTGAGAAGATGATTGGGCGACCAGTGGCGTTTTTTGAGAAATTATTTGGGTGGTTTCACCAATCTGTCTTCACAGTTTCCAGTACTTGCTCAGAATTGTTGCATTCATTAATTGTTTGAAGCATGTTCAGGAAATTATTTGTTTATTATTTTTTATAATGTTCGGTTGCTATTTAATGTGGGGATGAAAGTTTCTGGAATTTTAGGTAGGAAATTTAATATGTGTTTGTGTCTTATTGTTTATGGATTATGTGGATATAAATCATATGGATTATGTCTTAACAACATCGTTTGAAAAATTGAATGGTTCATTTTGTTTTAAGCATTTTACCATTAGATAGAAATTAATTTTTAGAGTCAGACTACTGAAAGATGATAGGTTTTTGTCAGCAATTGGAGAATTAATTCTGAGCTATCAACACAAGTACAGTGATATCTTTAAGATTTGGTGAAGGGATTTTTAATATGCCCTCTCTCTTCTACTGCCTAAATGGATATTTAACTAAGTATCTCACCGATTCTCTGACTGTAATTTCTCCTCTATATTTCACCATTTATTTTGTTTACTGCTTGATATTTCATTAAGGACTAATTACTTGATATTAGATTGAAGGATAATTATTTTAATAAAGAACATAAAAAATGAAAATTTTGGATATCAATTTTGATTGGATTTCAGCATCTTTCAGTACTCACCAGTTATTCATGTTATCATTTTTCATTGAGTTATAATTATCCTATAAACTCTATCTTAAATTCTTATTGTAAGAATTGTGTTAGCAAATTGTTTTCTCCCTTTATTGATGTGTATAACTTGAGTGACCGAAGTCTATGACTACTGTTGTTATCTGCTGAATATTTGTAGTTTCTTAACGTAATTCTTTTCGTCTTTTGTATGGTTTAGCTCTGTAGTGTACTAATTACAGTTAAGGAATTTTTAACTAACATATCGGCATACAATGAGCTATTTTATGGCAGTTTATGTTTTATTAGATTAGTGCTAATTCTCAGTTGTGTTTACTGTTTACCTCTTTTTTTTTAGTTCCCTTTTCTCTGTTTCTTTTCACCCAGAAAGATACTTTTCTTGATCCTATGCCATTCATTATTTTGGTGCCACTATCTTGAATGCTTAGTTAATGCTGTTTGGTGGAGAGGCCTTCTAAACTTTGTTCCATCAATGGGCCAAGTTCGTCAGAATATCATACAGTCTTGGTTAATAAGTCAAATTTATCCCACGTTTGTTTGAATAATTTAGTCTGACTTTCTCTCAAAAGTTTCGTTAGAAAGTATATGGAGTCGTGTTATCTGTTAGATGTGGTAGTTGGTATTTACAACCGAGGGACAAATCTGCAGGTTGGCTGCTGACTCAACTACGGAGTTTTTTATTTGAGGTTCCACTATTAGAAGTTATGGGGGTCTCTGAAATATCTCATAATGTTTTTTTCATATAATTTAAAAATATTTATAGAAGTTCCTCAGCTCACCTGGAAAATATGGTATATTCTTACTTGCTTTAGATCATTTCTACAGTTGTGATTTGACCAGGTAGGAGTGCCATTGTCACATCATAAGGCCCCTGTGGATGATTTCTTCTGTTTATGAGATGACCATATTCCTTAGTCTGGGTACACATTGCACAAGATCAAACATGTTTCATAACAACAATCTAACTCCATTAATTACTTGGACCCCTAGAACAGGAATCAAACATATAGGTGGTTTGGGGTTCTTTGACTAATTGCTTGTGGAGGAATAGCCACTATAAGTTGCTTAAGCACATGGAAAAACACCAATTATTGTGTTTTCAGTTTGTTCAATTTCGTGTACTTCATCTTTCACGGTCCAAAGTATTCCATCATTTTGTTATCTGATTCTGTAACCTAAGTTGGAGTCCCTACTTATTTTGCTACTTATATAAATGCTCCCTGATTTGTTTATAACATCAACGCAATCCAGGTTGTGCTAGCAGCTCAGGTGATCTGTTGGACTGGACAGTTTTTGGGTCATGGTATCTTTGAGGTGAGTTAATTCTGTAGTTTGAAATTGGTATACTGCATCTATTTCCCTCTGATTTTACATTAAGATTCTGTTTTGTAGAAACGGGCGCCAGCTCTATTGGACAATCTTGTTCAAGCCTTTCTGATGGCTCCTTTCTTTGTATTGCTCGAGGTAATTTCCTTTTCACTTTTCTCTTGAACTTAATTATGGTCATGGTTTTTAAGTATAAAATAGTTATGCAATTATTCATTCGGTGCAGATTCTCCAAACAGTCTTTGGATATGAACCGTATCCAGGGTTTCGTGCAAGAGTTGAAGCAAAGATAGATGCTGAAATCAAGGAGTGGAAGGAGAAGAAACAAAAGAAAGTTTCTTAATTTGGTCAAGTCAACATAAGTTCTGATGATCTGTGTATAAAGTGTAAACATAATGAACGCCATATGTTGTCCAACTAGTATATACATTCAATAAATTTAAACATTTGAATGGAGGCTCATGAATCTGTTCCTCCTTTAAAAATGTATGACATACGTGCAGGCTTGTTTTTCATTTAATATGATTTAAAATAATCTGAAAATAATCAATCTAGTTGTAAGGCAAAAACTCATGCTAAACTCAACCTGTATTGGTAGCATTTATTGCTTTACTACAAGTTTGAACAGACTGAATTCTTAAACTTATACTAGGAGCAACACCAATGAAGCTAATACCAGGCTCTGACTTCTGAACTCTTCTCTCCTGCATTGATTTCCTCACGCCCATTGCTTCGTCCCACTGTCCCACGCTCGCATACATGTTAGCAGAAGTACATAGTCGCTGCTATGATCTGGTTCCAACTCCAAAAGATGTTTCCTTGCCTTCTTCCCAAGTTCGACATTTCCATGTATCCTACAAGCAGCCAACAATGTCCTCCACACAATGGCATTGCACTTCACTGGCATGCTCCTTATCAGTCTATAAGCCTCCTCCACAAAACCTGCTCGCCCTAAAATATCCACCATGCATCCATAGTGCTTAATGGTTGGTTTGATATGGTAAGTGTTGCACATCATATCAAAGTATCTTCTCCCTTCATCAACCATCCCTCCATGGCTACAAGCGCATAAAACCCCCAGAAAAGTAACATCATTTGGGGTCTGAAGATTTTCTTGTAACATCCTTAAAAACAGTGCTAATGCCTCCTCAGTATGTCCATGTGTTGCCAGTCCTAGAATCATTGTGTTCCAGGATACTATGTTCTTCCCCTTCATCTTCTCAAATGTCTCGTATGCTTCTTCCACAGCTCCACACTTGGCATACATATCGATTAGCGAATTCGAAACTGAAGTAATGTTGCCAAGACTAGTATTCTTAATGCAAGAATGAACCCACCTTCCAAAATCTAACGCACCAGATGCAGAACATGCTGAGACGGTCACAACCAATGTGGCATCATCAGGTTCTATGCCACTTCTCAACATTCTCAAGAAAAAGTCTAGTGCTTCTTCGCATTTTCCACAACAAACATGACAATGAATGATGGTATTCCAAGCAACTAACTGTGGTTGGGGCATTTCCTCAAATAGTTTGCAACAAGTTCTAATCTCCTTAACTCTTCCATACATGTGTATGAGTGTGTTACTTACAAAAGCATGCGATTCCAGGCCATGTTTCAGAGTAGTACAATGCATTTGTTGGCCTAAAACAACTGATGCCAACTGCCCACAAATCTTAAGCAAGAAAGAGAAAGTGAAATTATCAGACAAAAAGCCTTTCTCTTGCATTCTCTTATAGTACTCAAAAGCTTTTACAAACTGATAACTTTTGCTAAACCCTCTAATCATGGTATTATAAAGAAACCCGTCTGGGTTTTGAATATTTTCAAAGACTGAGATTGCATAATCCATATCTCCACGCTCTGAAACAGCACAAAACACAATGATTTTGCCGATTACAAAGAGGGTTTGGTGAAGTCCAGATTGGATTATATGAGCATGGATTTGGTTTAAATGTTTAATGGTTGAACACTTTTTGAAAAGAGACATAAGGGTTTGCTCTTTTGAAGTGAGGTTAACATTTGTGTTTACAGCTGTGGTTGTTAGATGGGAAGACAAAGAAGGGAGATTGAATTTTGTACAAGACAAGTGAAGAAGTAAGAGTACTGTTGTTTTGGGCAAGGAATAAAGAGTAACTGTTATGTGTGATTTTAGGCGGGTAAGATAGTTGATAGTCATATTAACTAACTTTACCATATCCTAGTTCAATGAGATGCAGTAAGCAGTTTATATTCGTATACAAATTTATCAAAGTTCATTTTGGTCCCTGAGGTTTGACTTGAATAAATAACTTTAGGTTCAGTAGAACATGAAAGTAACACTCAGGTCCTCACGACATTATTATGAGCACTTTGAACAATGAATACTTTTTGCAAAAGTCTAAAATACCTCTGATATGTTTAATTTTTTTTTTTTTAATTTAACTGGAATTATTTCAATTTTCAATATAGCGTTCAGTTAAGAGCTGTTTAATTTTTTTTTTTTAATAATTCTGTTGATTTTTATGTCAGTACTACGACAATATTAGGGGTATTTGGACATCTAAAAAAAACTACATAAATAACAAGACCTAATGGTTACTTCATATTTTTACTAACCTTAGGATCAAAATGATTTAACCCAAATTTCAAAGTGTGGTGGAAAAATGACCTGTCCGGCCCGACCCGCACGGGTTCCCGGCCCGTCTTGCCAAAAGGCTGGCCCAGCCCGGCCTACCAACCCTAACCGACGGGTTATGATGCGGGTGTTAGCCCACAATTTTTTTTTTTAATTTTTTTATGTATTTTATATTAATATATATATCGTAATTCAATTATCAATTTAATACAATAAATTGTAATATAAGAAAAATTAGCTTTATTCATTTATCAAAAATAAAATTTGTGATGAAAGAAGTCATGAACAATACCTAGTTTCTGTCTTTAAGGATGTTGTCAATAATATTGTATCCCACACCATTGTGAAATTCAATGTAAATTTCCAACAATAGTATTTCTACTTATAATGAAAATTTTTTACATTATCCTTTTTCAGTCAAATTTTGTAACTGGTAGTAAAACAAAGGAAATTTAAATATTTTTCTTAACCTTTTGATTTAGCATTCTATTTATTATCATTAATAAAGATAACTTGCAGATTTAAGACTTCAATCTGCCCCGACTACTCATAAATAGGAGTTTGAGATACAATGTATTGTGCATGTGTCGAAATCAAGTCTCTCTTCTAGATTGGATTATTGATTTGGTAATAATTCTATAATGTTGACTATTCATTTGGTATAACCATATTAAATCATGATATTTCGGAAATTGAGATGAACAGCATTTTATTACTCACACTTGTATAATTTACCATTAATTTTAAATTATATAATCACGCAACATGATTTCCTTCCATAATTGAAAATAGAATAGTCAATGTACACCATGATCTCTTTCACATACCTTTTCGAATTCATATTTATATCAAAAGTTAATAAATTGAATCTAAATTTTCCCATTAAAGGCAATATCAGGTATAACTTAAGTAACAAAAATCTCTGAGAAATATAGAAATCTCCCTACCTTTAAATTTGTTGGTGTTAAAATAAACGATAAAGGGTTAATTATGTATCTATTCACTAACCCATCACATCATAAATTTTAACGCTACTAACCATAAGAGATTTTTATTATTTGTAAAATCTCAAAATGGCCAGACTTGTTATTTGAATAGACTTGATAGGGTCGAGAAATGTCTTTATATTTTACTTTCCAATTGAGATAATATCAATCTTCTAATCATTTAATACTCAAGTACAATCCCTGTGATGATGTCTTAACATTAATCTAATTTTTTTCGGCCAACCCACGGTTGGCGGTTTTTTTGTTTAAAAAAAAAAACCCGGTCGCTATATAAAACCGTCCTCCATGGATGCATGCAGATGGCCGGGTTAGGGTTACCCATCTAACCCCCCATTTGTTCCAACTCTATTCATAGATGCAACACCATAAAAACTCAGATGTTGTAAAACATGAAAATATGAATTACATATTTTTGCAGCAGCATTGCAGAATTGGGTTAATAATTTAAGTCCCGTGGTCCTAGTAGGGTCCAGAATTAGTGTGGACTTGCAACTAGATCCAATGGGCCGAATCCAACCATATCAAGGATCCAAATATTACGAATATTAAAATAATTTGTCCTTTTTATTGTTAAAATTATTTTTATTAAATGCTTTAAGTTGGAAAAGATTAGATTCCTTACATTTATTGACTGCTAAATCTTAATCAGTTACTAATCCATTATATCAACTTATCTTCTATTTATGTATCTACCAATTATTGGCGTCAAATCCTTGGTATTTTAAGTTATAGAATAATATTACTATACTTGGGACATGATGACTCTATTAGCTAAATTGAATGATAAACGATCAATATAATATAAATTACCCTGAATAATTTTGATGTAACACTGCCCATTAAATTATTGCAACTTTCATATAAAGACGAGTAAACGACATTTTCCCACCCAAGGTTTAGCGAATCTGCAAGTTTCCACCCCTAGTTTCATAAATTGCAGATTCCCACCCTTAAACTAATGCCGTTATTTTTTTCTCAAAATAATCCATGTATGTCAAATTTCTCTCAAATAACCCCCAGAGGATCCCGACCAAGCCAAGAATCTGGCCTGATTCCAGTACCATTGGACCTCCCCGACACCACCATCAACATCCCCTTATCCTCCTCGCCAAAACTCCTAACTTTTTCACTCAATTGCACATCGGCGAGGTGCCAAAATTTGGTTGGAAAGGGGCGAAAAAATGCAAAAACCTAAGGGAGAGACGACGACAATCGGCGAGCAATTGTAGCCGACAATGTTAGGGGTTTTGGTGGGGGGAAGCCAACGATGCTATTGGTGGTCTTGGGGGTAGTTTTCGGTGTTGAGACTTGCCGGAATTTGGATGAAACGTCGATTGACACTAAAAGCGACGGCAGACGATTAGGGGATTCAATCAACCTGGGAGGTTAGGGGTTTTGATGTGGGGGTTGAGGAGATTGTAATAGTGGTGTCAAGAGGCGTCGATTGTGCTAGAAACAAGTTGGAATAGCCTGAAATTGCCGGTAGGGTGAATTAGAGAAGTGAAGGGTTATTTTGAAATTTTGAAACTTGCAGGTTGGCCAAACCTTAGGTGGAAAAATGTCGTTTACTCTAAAGACAAATATATACCACAGTATTCTCAATTTAACATATCAATTACCAACTACTTAGTACTCACTCTTTTTAAATTCAACTAGTTATGAGGGAAGGATTACTAAATTGGTCATTTTAAATAGTTGAGTGTTTCATAAATTAAGATGGGTTTTTTAAAATTATTAAAAATCCTCCTTTATAATTATTGAAGATCCCCTTGAAATAAGGAATTTTTAATTGGGATTAAAATAATTTGTTTAGAGTTGTAGATGTGGTTGAAGCAAGTTGCAAAAGATTATAAAGAATAATGTTATCCATAAAGAAGTTTGTTACAACTTCCTAAACTAGTTTATAATAATTTATAGGAGTTGTTCAACTCAATACTAATCAAATATTAAATTCATTTCACTTAAGTGTTTTTTACTTGTTAATTATGAATTAATTAACTCAACCAACACTAAAGTAATATATTTCAATTCTGTTCCAAGGAAAATCTATAAGGAAATAAGGATCACTCCAACATGTTCTCTTTATAGGAGACGATGATCTTTCAGAACAAGCACTTAATGATCAACGAAATTCCTTGGAGTTTTCATTTGAACCCCATCAATAGGGTAACACATTATTTTACTCTAGTTTCAATTGGGAAAATGAATTCCATAGTTTTTAATGTCTGGCAACATAAAATAGATCATAGTCCATGCAAGGAAAACTCTAATTGGACAATAAAACCAAATGGTCTATAGTATACTCCAATGGTTAGGAACCCGGCCCATGTGACAACTCGGCTAGGGGACCGGGTCATTGTTTGACTGATCTAACCGATTTGATCGGTAGTTTAACCGTCCATCCCGTAAGTTTAAAATCTAGCAAACACACCCCTGATAAATACACATCAGTCTCTTTAGGTTTGAAATCCAACAAAAATACCCTTACAGACAGGTTACGATCGACGGCCAACCGGACTTTGGGATGATGGAGTTTTTGGTGGGGAGATGTCGTTGAGGCCAATAGAGGGTTCGGGGGTGATTTTAGGCACCAGAATCTGCCGAAATGAGGGAGAAAGTGCTAGAATGTGAGGGGGGTGAGTGGAAGGAGCAAGGGGTGTTTGTAATTTTGAGGGCCGATTTTCTGCCTTTGTCGGTTAAACTAGTGAAGGCTTTGGGTCCTAGTCTAACCAATTAAACCAATCGAGCTGGGTCGGGTTCCTAATCAGTAGTATACTCTATAGATCCATTATAAGAAACATGTCTTCCTTGGAAATAATCCTTACAAGAAAAATTTGTTTCTTGACAGACAGGTTTTTATAGAAAATAATGAAATAATTCACATTGTATTATTCAAAATCTTCTTCATTATTATAGAAGAGTACATGAATCATGTTATCTTAATAAATACCAATATGTTAAAAACGTTATTTGATCATGTATTTTGATGATACTTAATATGTATATGTAAGAATTAGAATTCAAATAAGTAATTGTTTTTTTGCAATTCAACGACGGTTATTGATGCAGTAACACATTCAAATCGAAACTTAAAATTTCTTAGATAGGCATTTATGCCGACCTAAGTTTGAATTTCTTGAAGCTACCTCTGACATAAATTAAAAACTTTGGTTTGTCAAAATAAAAGCAAGTCAAACTCTAAATGGAAATATTATATGAATCAATGTGGCTCATTTGAAACCATAGATTAATTTGACCTAAGCCATGTGAATACTATTGAGCCAGCCACATACTTATAAGCCTAGATAAAATTATTATATTATCAATTTAATCGCTCTATAAGCCCAGTTAGGCACCCAATGAAATGGTCAATCATTAGCAGCAAATTATAAAATTATTAAAATGTTTAATTAAAATTTGGAAAGTACTTAAGCAAAATCTTTTCAAATTCAAACTAGTTGACTTTCTCCTACTTCTTCCCCCAGGGATTTCGGCATTCTAGACCAACCATATTGTGCCACGTGTGTGATAATTGTTGCTTTCATACCCACATGTCGGAACAGGAGAAACAGGGCCCAAACGGGCAGCTCATCCTCACCCGGGGTTAATAGTCAACCTTAGGGTTAATTAAACTAATCATAGTTTAATTGGCGTTATTGTGTGATTCAACTAGGATCCGCCAAGTGGCGGAATCGTTTTTGCTGTTATTGGGAAATGCTGGTACTGTCCATTTTTAAATTTTTTTTTTTTATGATGCTTACGCAGCAGATATGGACGTTGACTATAATGAGGTTGCCAAGACAATTAAAATTCCTCCCACAATTAAAACGCGACACGCGTGTCTTCATCATTGAGGTTTTTTTTTTTCCTCAAAAGGAAAGTTTTACCCTTTCTTGCTTAATTATTACATGGAATAATTATCATTCGCGTTTATTCTTAAATTAACTCTTTATTTTACATATTTCCATTTCCCTTTTTTTTTTTTTTATGAAAATGGATGGAAAAATCATTTCTAAAATGTTAGTAATGTATATTTAACCATATAATCAAAAATAGAGATTGTATATTAATACTCATTTATTTCTCTCAAAAATTATTAAAAATATTTGTGTAATTATCAAAACCCTCTAAAAGTTTATATCTTACCCGTTACAAAATAAAAAATAAAAACTGAAATGGGTGTTTTTAATATTTTCTAAACGAATAAGTGATCTCATAGGAAAAATAAAATAAAATAAATAAACCTGCCAATATACCCAATTACAACGATAAAATGGAGATTTGCTTTGGAGACTCAATTGGGAAATATTATAAAAATAAAATATTTATGATTTACTTTAGAGAGGAGACATTTTTGATATAGTTTGAAAGTGGAGGTTAATTGAGCTAGGTTTAGGTTGAGAAATTGGAAACCAACCAGACTTTTGGTTTGATATTAGGCTTAGAAGTACACAAATCACGTGTTGACATACTTTAATATTTCTTTATTTCATCACCCACAAGTTTGGACAAATAATACATTATCAAAGTTTAGATTAATTAATTAGCTTTCACATTTTAATATTACGAAATGAAATTTGTGTGTTTAATAATTTAGTTTTTAATAACCTATTTCTCAAATTATCTAAATTTAAACCAACTCCTAGATAGTCAAGCAGTCAATTAAGACTATTGAATGCATTATTTAAGAGGTCTTGAGTTTGATTTCTTTCGTTTGTTAATAATGATGGTCACTAAAGAATTATCTGATCATTAACTTCAAAGCCTCGAAAAACTAGTTGTAGTGTGCCCACACTCACACAGTCGCTTGATTATCAAAAACAAGAAAAACAATTATTCTTTTAATAATCATTAATGGAGAACTTTCCGTCGTAAATGACTCTTAATTACAAAGTACAAACCACTTTATTCTTTATACATTCTCTTATTGCAAGAGGGCCAAACCCTAATTAATTAGTGAGCCCCTCAAAGGATTCGAGTGAAACGTTAATAAAAAGTGTATTTATTTAATTAATTAATTTAACCTTAATTTGGCTTCATCTATCTTTCACTCTACTCTTTACTGAACTTTTTTTATTTCATCAATGATTTTAATTAATTATTGCCAAGCTTAAATTTCCCAAAGCCTATTGACTTAAATATGGACCACCCTTGTTTGATTTAAACTTGTTGATGATAAGTGTCACATTTTGATATTTAAACCATGAAAATCTAGGCTATGATTTGAAAATATTTTCAAAAAATATTTTAGTATTTGGGGTATATGGGTCATTTTGTATTTGTAAAATAAACAACTTTTATTAGCTAATTTTTGGAAGTTGAAATGTGAACTTCTGTAATCTTTCACAGCTGGTATGACTTATTAGGATAAAGGAGATTCGATTTAGGAGAAAAAAAAGCCCTTCTTTCACATCAAAAAAAATCAAATTATTAATATTTTTTTTCCATTTTTTTCAACATAAAATTGCGGTTTAGATAATTATTGCTAATCCCATCTTTGCCTCTAAACACCAACGATTTTATTTTAATATAATATATGGTCGTTTTCAAAATCATTTCTATATTTATATATCCAAATACAACAAAAAATAATCATGTTGTGATTTAATATTTCGAAAATAGATATAAAAAGAAAGATATGATGCATTCTTCAATTTTATATTTATAAAACAATATTTAATTATTGGGGTCTGTTTGATTTGTGATTCAAAAATCACTTTTAAATACTAAATATGATTCAAAATTTTGAGTTATATCTTAATATTTTTATTATTTAAAAATGTATTTTATATAATATATAAAAACTATTTTCAGGCTAAAAATGACTGAAACTAAGAAATCATTTTCTAATTTTTAGAATTGTTTCAGAAAACTATTTTCGTAAAATAATTTGACTCATTTTCATATTAAATTTTATATCAAATAGATCCCTTACTTTTTTGACTATATTGACCACAAGACTCTTTTCTACTTCTATAAATAGTAGTAACAAACAAATTGTAATTTGTAATTCTTTTATTTAATATATTTATTATATCAAAATGCATCTTACTTTGTAAAAGTAATTTTATAAAATATTATACAAAAAACAGATAATAAAATTTCAAGATGACATAGTCTTCTAACAAATTAAATGATAAAATTTTTACATGCATGGAATTGAGCTGAGTTCTTGCATCTGGTCAAAAATTTAGAAAGCTAGGATAATGATAATAATAATAATTATTATTTTTTAATGATAGTTAGAATAAAGTTAATAAAAGGCTAAAACAAAAACAACCCCCACCTAGTTGCTTTACAAACCACGTTTCTATCTCTCTACAAAGCACCAGCATTAATGGGGGCTCTCCTTCTCCAAATTGCTTTTTCTCTTTAACATCTCTCCATCTTTCAGGTTTATAACTTTTTTCAATCACTTGTTCCATGGCAGCTTCCCTCTTTTCTCACTCAATCTCTCCCTTTCTTCCTAACTTCCCTTAGCCTTTTGTATATATATCCAACACTTTCTGTTACCTTCTCTCTATCATTCTTAATCTTTTTGTTTAGCCTTGTTTTCTCTGTAAGGTGCTTTGAATTTAGTGGGTTTTACACAATATAATAAGCCAACAGGGTTTTAGCTATTTGTAGAATGGAGAACAATTCTGGATTTGGTAAGGAAGACGATCAGATGGATTTGCCACCTGGCTTCAGATTCCATCCCACTGATGAAGAGCTCATCTCTCACTACTTGTACAAGAAAGTTCTTGATGTCAATTTCTCATCTAGAGCTATTGGAGATGTTGATTTGAACAAGTCTGAACCTTGGGAATTGCCTTGTAAGTTTTCAGTTTTCTCTTTTTATGAACATGAATTTGAGTATCAATTGTGGTTTGTTATCTAATTTGGTTTTTCTTTGGATAAAGGGAAAGCAAAGATGGGAGAGAAAGAGTGGTACTTCTTTTGTATGAGGGACAGAAAATATCCAACTGGGTTGAGGACTAATCGGGCAACCGTTTCCGGTTACTGGAAAGCCACCGGGAAAGATAAAGAAATTTACAGAGGAAAGTCACTTGTGGGAATGAAGAAAACTCTTGTTTTCTACAAGGGAAGAGCCCCAAAAGGAGAAAAAACCAACTGGGTCATGCATGAATATAGATTGGATGGGAAATTTTCTGTCCATAATCTTCCCAAAAATGCAAAGGTGCATACGTTTCCTCTGTTTTCTTCAACTCAGTTATAGTTGTTTATGTTATTATGTGAGTGTTAATGGAAGTTTTGTTAATTTGGTGTTGTTTTTGCAGAATGAATGGGTGATTTCGAGGGTGTTTCAAAAGAGTTCAGGTGGGAAGAAAATTCATATTTCAGGGATAGTAAGTTTAGGGTCTTTTGGCAATAATGAATTAGGTCCTTCTGGTTTACCTCCATTAATGGATTCTTCTCCTCCTGATAATAATAACAATAATGGCGGCAAGTCCACTAAACCTCTTACTGATTCGGCTTACGTGCCCTGCTTCTCCAACTCAAATCCCATTGATGTTCAAAGAACCCAACAAAACTCATTCGATTGGTTGAACAATCCTCTCATACCCGTTTCTTCTTCCAACCGAACCGACCTTTTCCCACGTATCCCATTTCCAAATTCATTTCATTCCCCCCCTTTGTCCATCCCAGTTACATCAAATTTCCAATTTCCAGGTTCAATTCTAATGCAAGACCAGTTAACCCTGAGGGCCTTAATCGAAAACCAAACATCAAACATGAGACAGAGTTTCAAAACAGAGCGGGAAATGGTCAGTCTTTCACAAGACACAGGGCTGACTGGCGATATGAACCCAGAAATATCTTCAGTTATGTCCAATTTCGAAATGGTAAAGAGCCAATTCGAGGATCAAGATCAGGTTCCTTCAACTTCAAGCGGAGCAGTGGATATTGATAAACTTTGGAATTATTGAAACTAGGAGATGAAATGAAATTATTAGTAAGAAGATAAGCATTATTATTAGTTATTAATTATTATTGGGTATTGTATTAAAATGGTGATGGGTGTGGGTCTGTTGTATAGATATTGTTGAATCTCAAATGAAAGCGAACCATATAATTGTGATTATGATTATGATTATGTATTTGTGCAAGAAATTAAATGAAGTTATTAGCTGTATTTTGTTGTTGTTAATTTGATTGGATGGATATAGAATTTGTCATATTAGAGATTCAGTTGGTGGCTAACTGATCTTATTTTTGTAATTTGATTAAATCATTGAGTTTCATTCTCATGAATTGTTTATTGGATTTTGAATTTCATTTTGTAGGGACTCAAATTGATTTCCCACATCTCTACTCTGCTAAAATCCAACCATTACAACTTCACCCTCTATATTTGCATTTTTTTTAATCATGTCTCTCTGTCACTTATAATCATTTGAAAATTCATCAAACTTTGTACACAGCCAAACCATTCAAATCAACCTTACCTTGCTCTTAGTTAATTACTTTGATTTTATTCCCCCTTCTATTTTTTGACTCAACATCATGTTCATCTACAAATTAAGTTTCCTTGTAACCCACCTCCTTTAATATTATTCATCATCACGTGTCAATTTTAAAATCTTATTAATTCGATTATTAAAGTAGTCTGTCAATTTTAAACTCTCATTAATTCGACTTATTAAAGTAATTAGTTCCGCATGTTAACTTTAAGCTTTCATTAGTTCGGTTTATTAAGGTAAAACTTATAAAAGTAGATCTTTTTAAAAATAAAGTTGATCTAAAAAGGTTTATGATTGTTTAATTAGGGTTTTCTATAATGAATGATAAAGCAAAATACTTGAAATAACGGGAAATTACTTTTTACATTTCAAAACTTTAAATAAGTTGAAAAAGAGTTTACCACAAAAACCTAATATTTATGTTTCACTCAAATATTATTCACCCATAGACTCTTATTAATGGGTTACTTGAGTTTAGTCACCAATTTTCTCATTAAAAAAAAAAGTATTAATTCCATTAATTTTAGATTATTAGGATTTTACTTAATTTCTCAAAACTCTCATTCAAAATTCTGATTAAAGTTTATCCATTCATTCATTTCATGATGACATACATTCCGTTTTGTTTTGAAGGTGTAATGCGTGATGAAACAATGGGTTTGGGTTGTTATTTTATTTGTTGGTTAAAAGCATGTGATATTTTGATTTTTAGCACATGATTTAAACTTCCAACTCCATCCATTTCAATCAACAATTTCACAAAATGTCCCTTAACTATATCAAAATAATTACTTTTGTCCTTCCTTCTCACTCACTTAACTCTCCTTCCTTTCAAATTCCTCATATTCTACTTTAACCAATACCTATAATTATATAAAAGGGTATTTACTGTTCATCCTCATATTTTATGAATGCTCGGTCTCCCCGAATACTATGGGCTACAAAAACTTGGATCGTAGGGTATTTATGTAATTATACAATATGTTATCTTAAACCTAGGAAGTGGAGTCCCACCAGACACTAAAGAAGTTTCGTCGTGACTTTGTTGAGTTGTGGCCCCACAGAATGGTGAGGTCAGGTTCCAGGCAGAGTTTGGCCTTTTTAACGGTCGACACGTAGTCACATGGACCCCATTCCGATTCCCGCGCTAATGAGACACGCGGTTCAGGTTTTTGCCTTCGTCACCCCGTGACTATGCCAAAACTTAGCCACCTATATCTTGCCCCATGGTACACCACACTTACCGGCTGGCCTTGCTCACGTGGAAAATACGACACCACTCCTAACAATTTTGACTTTTTTTGCCCTTTCCTTTTGATATTTTACAAAAGGAAAATCCCGATAACACTATACCCCTTTTTGCTATAAATATCTTTCTGTTTTTTTCTCATCAATTTCAATACATTTTATCACATAAACAATATTTTTTAATATAAAAAAAAGTTAATTACATTAATCTTCTTTAAGTACAACAAAATAACAAAAAATCAATCAAGGTTTTGAAAATAAAACAACTTTTCCAATTGTTAAGTTTGATGTGTTAAAATAAATTTACTACATACTTATGTAAATTTTATTGACTAACCAACCGTTCATTAATAATACAGTAAAATCTCTCTATAGTCATAATGTCAGGGTCAATTAAATTTATTACCATAAAGAGATTATAACTTAATAGAGGTGTAATTATAATAATTATTTTTTTATTCAAAAAAATTTCTTATTTTATAATTCATATTTTAATAGTATTAGGATTTCTATTCATGTTTTAGTAGTATTAAGATTTCAATTCATTGTTTTAATAGTATTAGAATAGTACGAAAATAGATATTAAAAAGTTACTGTAGAATTAAATGATCAGATTTGACAACTTCACTACATTAATTAAATGTATATTAATATGTTTCTCAATCATCCAAATGAGTAACAAGTCATATATGCTTTAACTGAAGAAAAAAACATTACTAGAATTAGACAAGAAGAGGAAGGAGATAATCTGGAGGATGATAGTACGGAAATACCAAAAGTTTCATGTCAAGACGCTCTAAACATACTTGAGAAGTTAAAAATACTGTAGCTTCAATAAGAAAGTGTCCATGTTAACGACTTATTATGAACCCGTTAGATAAAAGATGTGGTAACAACTCTATAATATAAATCATTATCAAACAATTTTAGATAAATATTTTATTTCATCTTAAACCTTTAATATAACATAACATATATTTTTTGCAATAAATATATATATATATATAATTATTACTATGTAGAGACAAGTTTCTTAATACGGAACCTAGAAAAATTATAACTTATTACAATGTGAAATTTATTCTTATTCATAACTGATCCAAGTTAGGACCATAATTTTTTATGACTATATGGAGGTTATTCATACATAAAGTATCACTGTAGAGAGGTTATACTTTATAAGGATATTTGTTATTATAGAAATCTCAATAGAATTTCTTTTATCATATCATATCTTAGGAGGGTTTATGTATTTTAACTCTGAAAATAATTAAAATTATATCTATTGTAGAAACATTTCAAAAAAAATATATATAGTGGAATATTTGAGGCTAAATATGGTAGCATGGATAAATAATTGTTTAGTTCAAACAAGAAATAAGTTAGGATATTAGGATTTATCATTTAATCATCGAGGATATTGAGGATACTGAATTGAAAAGTCAGATATGATTATGAAAAATTCCAATTTTGCAGGCTTGAAATGGTAAAAAAATATCCTATTTTATACACTTATGATGTGTTGTGGAGTCGTACGTGGACTAGTAAATGATTATATGATACATAAAAAAGATATTGAATTTAGAGGGCATTATATTGTTGGTTTCTTAGGATAAGCTTATCTTTACTTGCATTCATAAAGTCTATAGACTATAGTTTTTGAATAAATTAACTTACATAACACTTTTAGTATAAAAAGAGAAGATATAAAATTTTTCCCTTGAAAGAATGAGTTTGAATGGTTAATTATCCTTGCCATGTGTTGTTCAAATTACCAAAAATAATTCCAAAATCAACAATAATAATGTTTATTAATTATTAATTACCTCATTGCTTACGCACATACGCACAAATGAAGCAGTAAATTAAGAAAGAAAAAGTTGGCTGAATTTGCTAGTTTAATTGGGAAATGTGGCCGACCACACAAAAGAATATGTTATATGTAGTTCAATTAGAATGATACATCCAATGAGCATCTTGTTAGCTTTCTAATACTATATTATTATTATTATTATTATTATTATTGTTATTATTATTTATAATATAAATGCTTAATTTCTTGGTGATTTTTTTTTTCTTCAATATATTAAAATTTCACTTCCAAATAGTTTTGATCAAAGCCCTCCAAACATTATTATATCATCACATTGTATTAAGGGAAATTATATTTGAATAACCGTTGTTTTGTTATAGGATAGGATAGGGTTTCGATCGGTCACTTTAAGTTTTTAGAAATTTTGGAAAAGGGTTTAAAGATACTTTAAAAAACAAACTATTTTTCAATTGAGTCTCCAAAAATGAATGTTTTAATATAATAAGCGCTTGTATTATCATATGTAAGACAAGTTGATATATCATTTGTTTTAATATTTGTTATGCTGGAAAAAGTAAGGCTGACGTGAAGCCTCGTCAGTAAAGGATGGTCAGAGTTCAGAAGGGTTTTACGCCGTCCAGATGCGGCCACATCGCGCCTAGCGCAAGTGGCATGGCTCCTGTCAGTGCAGCAGGTGAGTGCCAGGCCAGCAAGCGACTGGAGACCGCCCACGTGTCAAAGCCTTACTTTAATCGAGGAAATCCCTCGGGTAGTGATCAATGGGACGCAAAGAAAGGATTTGCACAACACCTACCCACTTGCAGCTTTCATAATCATTACCTTGAACTTTCCTACTATAAATAGAGGACTTCCCTCTCATTTAAAGAGATTAGCTGATTTTACACTGAAATAGCTCTCTCTCTCTCTCTCTCTCTCTCTCTCTCTCTAAACTATAACTCAACTCGTGAAACGCAACCTGATCTCTCTCTTATTAATACAATAGCAGTGGACGTAGGATTCGCTTTAGAGCATCCGAACCACTTTAAATGTTGCTCTTCACCTTTTATTTGATTCAATCCCTTCATATCACGTGTGAATTCTAAGTCATTTTAGCATTTTACACGTGGTAGTGGTTGGTGTCAAAATCAAGCATCAACAGTTTGGCGCTAGAAGGAGGGCCTAATTTAGTATTACTATTCATCAGAAAAATCTCTGACTAATCGGTCCCACAATAGTAAATGGCTTGCGGTTTTGAATTTGAGTGAACCAATCATGGCAATGAAGAAATCCCCCAGATCTAGGAGGACACTTCTCCCGAAATGCCGCTAGTCCAGTAGAATATCACGGGGGATGTTCCTTCAAGCTCGCGGCTTGACCCAGTCGTCATGAGTTACTTGAAGGGTTCAATAATACTCTTCAAACGGTCCGCCAAAGGCTAGACTAATTGGTTCAGGTCCTGCCAACCAAATCCAATGAGGCAGTGCCACTGCCAAAAACGCCTGCAGGTCGCGTGAAAGTGCGGAAAAGGGCGAAAGCCCATACCGCGCGCATTGCAGCGCATCAAAGAAAGGGAAAGCAAGTGACGTACAGTAGGCCTAAGGGCTCCGAGGG